TCTCATCCTGAGAATATTCACACAAGTGATATTTACTGTTAAGTACTTACATTTTAATTGAAGTTCTTTTGTAGGCAAAAATATCTTCATTTTAGTATCATCAGAAGATAGATCATGATGACACAGGTGTGTAGTCAGAGGTTCCAAAGTTTCTGTTACTGTCAGATTTAATCCTGCTTCTTTCCGCCGCTCTGGGCTTATAGGACTAACCACAAGGCTTTCTTCTTCAATAGAAGTTATCTTTTTCAAATCTGTAACTGAATATTGACTGTTGGGCTCTTCAGTTGTTGGCACTTAAAAAACAATAACAATCCAAAAAACAAATAGTCTGAAACAGTCCACAGGGCAAAAGAGATGAAAAATACAATAGACAGAACCACTGAAATTTTCTTACAAAATAGATTTTCACACATTACAAAGAAGTGAAACTTAAAATTATATCTGGTTGTTCATCTTCAAGATGCTAATATTTGTAAAAGTCCAAAATATTATAGCAATAGTAGTCACATAAAAAATTTATTTCAATCTTTGGAAATATCATGAAGCTAAAATTATTCTAATATTTAGTTGTTGATGGACCAATCATTTGTTTGACTATTTAGTATTTACTAAATTAGTGCATTTGATAACATTTTGAAGAATTGATATAAGATTTATTAAATCAGAAATTCTAATTCATTATAATAAGCCTAAACAAAAAGATATATTTAATCAGACTTTATGATAACTATCATCTTAGATATTGTGACACAGAGCTTTCTGCTTCATTGCTTTTAGCCTAAACAGGGACAAATCATAATGTATGGAAGAACTGAAGTAGCACAACTACTTCACATTATTATCTGCATTATAACCATTAACCCCAAATTAGGAGTATAAATTTTGAAATTCTCATTTTGGAACTGTGCTTTTGATAATGACAGTAATAATAATAAAACTGACAACTATATTTCTACTGATTGTATGTCTTTATATGTACATTGTACTCAGCATTCAAAATCAATTAACCTTTACCTGGAAGCAAAATTGGGTTCAAAAAGCTTCTGCAGCTTTTGTTAGCTGCTTCTTCAGCAGTAAGCAAATTACTGAAAAATGAAGAGTTAAAGTTTAATATATTAATAATATTGAATCATTTTGCATAATAAAATTTCGTTTTAAGCAAAATATTTTTCTAAGTTTTTTTTTTTTACATTTGAAAGCAAGTGGAAAATGAACTATTTTATAAATGGGTAACCTGAGACCATAGACCAAATTTCAAAATCTTCCTTTCTCCTAACTGAGGAAGAAGGTTTGGCAATTTGTCGGCTCCTTAATTGCTCCTGCTTGCCCATAACCTCTATGGCCCTCAATGAGCCCGGAGCCAGAGGAGGCTGACTTGGGAGGGTTTTAGCACTTCTTTCCATAAACTGTGCCAGTACTGATCCTATAAGTCACCCAAGATAAAAATACAATTTAAGTAAAATTACTCTACTTATTATGCCATACAAAATAGTAGCTTCAACACAAACTTTTATAAAATTGCTTTCTAAACAGGAATTTTGGAGAATCTATTGGCTGAGAATCAGAACTATGAAAAAGTTTTGTCTGCTCTACCTTCTGGGGAAGTGACAGGTCCTAAAGTTTAGTTCAGATCCTTCAATCTTGGTGAGTGTGTGAATGAGTGATGTGTGTCTGTCTATGCATTTTGGGGTAGTGGGGCAAGGTGGGGGGAGACTAGAGGAAGTATATATGACAATCACTGTAAATTACAGCAAATCAATAGCTATGAAGTTATTAGCCTTGGTGGGGAAGACAGCATTAATTCACAACCCCCTTAATCTATGTCGCCAAATCTCCCACTCTCTCCTAAGTGAGAATTGATTGGATTCTGTTTCTCTATTTTAAAGTGAAAAGAAGGGAAAATATTTAGGCAAGCCATGTCCAACAGGAGACTGTAATATAGACAAATATTCTCACTCTTAATGAAAATTTCTGGACATGTCTGAATTTGATATATTCTTTGGTCATATATAAAAATATGTTCACAATTCAGTAAACAGGTAGTGTGGGAATAAAGTCTTATGCCATACAAGTTTATCTTTTTAGCACAATAAAATTTAACATAGAGTTTTATATGTGGCGGGCATTAAAAATACTTGTTAACTAGGTATATTTCCAGACAAAACGGGTTCTGAATCAAAAGTAATTGGGGCCATAAAAGCAAGTTAAAAGTACAATAATATTACATATTATTTTCCCTTCTGTTGTTTTCTTATTTTAACACTTTTTCTTTTTGTTTTTAGTTTCACAGTTGAGGCATAAATCCATTTTTAAAATAGGGATTTTTAGGTTTTTATATTCATGAACCAAATGGAAGTGAGTTACCTCTTCTTAGTGAATGTAGTAGTGATGAGTTTTTTAGAGCTCATGTCTGACATGGGCAGTTCAGTTCATGGTAGAGTTCTGTATATCATAGACATACCCCCCAAATGACATAATTCTTTGCCAGAAGGTTAAGATAATTAAGACCTTCAATGCCAGGCTCCTCCATCTTATGCTGTGACACCTTCCTGAGACCATTAATAGAAGCCTGAGCAGCTAGTGATGAGTTGGTCCCAGTAACCCGACAGCTTCTTCTCAGATAGATCTGCCAATCAGAGCTTAGAACTCAAATCCCTATACACAGTTCTCACAGTGTCCACTCTGGGAATAACTTGTTAAAGACTTGTAGACTTTTTGGGGTAATTTTCCTGAAAATATGCTATTTTAGGACACATTAAATTCCAGGAATACAGGGCCGGCTGAGTGGCGCATTGGTTAAGAGCTGGCTTGGGATGCCAGAGGGCCCCAGTTCGGATCCCACATATGAGGGCCAGTGACACTGCCCTCCACAGCTAAGATGCTGAACAATAGCTCAATCTGGAGCTGGGCTGCCCGTGAGTCACCAGCAATGGCATAGGCTGCAGCCCCTGCTGCAGTGGGTTGCCATGGGCTACCGTATGTAGCCAGCAGCCAGCATGAGCAGCCAGCAGCCGTCCAGAAATTGGTGACTGATCTGCCTCGGCCGGGAAGAGCGCAATGATGGTGCCAACTTGGGCCAGTGAAGCAACGTCCTCCACAACTAGACTGAAGAACAAAAGGACAGCAACTTCTCTGTCCCCCTTCCCCCAATTCCCCAGTGCTGTTCCCATACCCCAATTCCCTAATAAAAATCTTAAAAAAAAAAAATTCCAGGAATACAGTAAAGAACAAGGAGACTGTACTATTTATGTTCTTAGTTTTGTAAGTGCCATAAGAAGCAGAGGAAAGGGTGACTTTATGCCAGGATAGCAAACTAATCTAACTTAGAAAATATGTCTGCCACATGGTGTAAGATATCAACCAAAGCTATCTCAGACTCTGTCAGAGGGCAAAGATGCCGGGTTATCAAGCTATGCAATTTTGGCTCAAATTAGAGTACAATGATTCAGCCCTGCAATATCAATTCTGAGAAGATTACAGACCATTCTGTGCAGTAACAATGGAGTATTGAATAGATTTGTGGATCAATACTTGGCTCTACATGTCTGGTTCCCCCAACACCAACACCACATTGACAGAGATAAACATGGTCAGCGGATGACTTTACTTAGAGATAGGATGTGATCCCTGATACTCCTAGGGGAGTAAGCTGATAGCCAAATCTATTGGCCACACTGCTCTGTGATCCTTGACTATTATTGGTCAGAGAGCTATGACAAATCTTTTAGAAAACCTCATAACAATCCTGTGAGGTATGAGCTGTTATTATTCCAATACTACAGATAAGGAAACTCAGGCACAGGACAATTAAGGTCACAGAGCTAGTTAGTGATAGAGACAGGCAATCTGGTTCTAGTTCAGGGCTCTTAACTTATTATGGCTGAATTGTGGCCCAAAATTCATATATTGAAAACCTAACTCTTAGTACTTTAGAATGTGATTATTTGGAAACAGTGCCTTTAAAGAAGTAATTAAGATAGAATGGTTAGGGTGGGCCCTAATTCAATTGGACTGGTGTCCTTACTAAAAGAGGGGATTAGGACACAGACACACATGGAGGAAAGACCATATGAAGACAAAGGGAGAAGACAGCAATCTACAAGCCAAGGAGGGAGGTCTCAGAATAAATCCAACTCTGCCAATAGCTTGATCTTGGACTTCTAGCCTCAACTGTGAAGAAACAAAATTAAGCCGTCCAGCCTATGATATTTATTATGGCAGCCTTAGCAAACTAATACACCACTACAGTCTTTCATGGCAGTGAGTGCCAAATAGGGGCAGTGCCATTAGCAACCACCCAGTGGCAAAAGCAGATAGTTCCAATGCCAGAATCTTTAAAATTTTTCAAGTTTTTTTATTTTTAATGGTAATATATTCACATTCAAAATACTTAAAGTATTAAAGATCCTGGCTCTGTCACTTACTAGCTCCCATATTTCCAAGTTACCCAGTTCCCTGACAACCAACATTACCTGATTCTTTTGTGTCCTAAAGGTATTCTATGCATAGAAGAACAAGTATGTACATGGATATTCATATATTCCCTCTAGTTGCTTACTATAGACACTAGTCTATCTCTTAAGCTTTTTTTCCACAGAGGTGTCTTGAAAATTGCCTTTACATGGAGAGATTTAATTAAAGACTGCTTGATATGAATTGCAATGTGAGTTCTAGACATAATCTTTACTTACAGTGTACAAACAGGAGAACATGGAAATGTCTGAAGTCCTGTACACAATGCATGGAGAGAAAAATGTTGTTTTTTTTAAGGTGTAGATAAGTTAATGGCATTTCTAATTTTTCTAGAATACATAAACATTAAAAAAATCATAATATTACATAAACATTGAATAAAATTAAGTATCATTTAGAACATTTTGTTAGCAATTATTATGCTTGATCATTATGTTGCAATAAAAATTTTCAATAAAAAAACTTGGGTTACCTGAAATATAAAATAACACTTTTAAATTTCCATCTATAAAAGGAATTACACATATATCACATGGTGTCTCAACTATGATGATGGTGATTTAAAAAAAAATACGTTAACAACTAAATTTTATTGCTTTTAATTTTGACAACTTGTATAGTCTGTACTTAGGAGATAGTACTGTTTTTCTCTCCATACTAAGTATTGGTGTTGCTAAATAAATAGTGTTAATAGCAAGTAAACCCACACCTAAATAAGTCTGGAGTCTAAGAGGCCTAGCACAGAGTTATATATTTATAGGGTGGATTTGACAAACTGATCTTCATTTATTCATAAGTAGTCAGTATGTTTCTATCACTTTCATAAATAAAGAAGTAAACTTCCAAATAGATGATCAATGTAATCCAATTATAAATGTAACTAAATAACCATATCACCAGCATAGTTAAGAAGCAATACAATTTGGTATTACACTGGAACAAAAGATGATTCTAAGATTCCAAATTTGATAGAAGTATAATATTGACAATAATGATAGGATTGCTTTGGGGGATTAAAAAGTTAAATTTACAAAAATGTAACAAGGATTAGCAAGATTGCTAATACTGAGATAAAATAGAAAATTTTATTTACTGAGTTATAAGATTTCTATTTTTAATGTTAATGCTATTTCTTCCATTTTTCTTCTTCAATCTTTATAACTCTATATTATTCAGTTTTGATGCTCAAAGAATAATGAGTAAATGATAATAACAAACGTAAAGGGACAGATAAGAGAACGAAAATCACAACTTGGATCGTAATAATAAAATTTTAAACATGAAAACTGTCTCAGAGCAGACTTTATATGTGAATACTTTGTACTTTAGCATCATATATAGGTAACCTCAATGATTTATTCAAAATGTCCACCTGGTTCACTGTGCTCTGGTTCACTGCGCTCTGGTTGGCATTGGCTTTGAATGGCCAAAATATCTGTGGAGCTACATTTTATATCCTCAATTCCATGGTTGGTAGTAAGATCTGAAAAGAAAAGGAAGAAAGCCTACTATCAATGTGCTATTATATTAGATTTTTGGAATCTTATCTACTCGTCTGTGGCAATGACTCTGTTGTACTTAGTACACCATCAGAGGGAAGTGAAGGCTGAGAGTGTAATACCACAGTCATTCAGTAAAGTCACTTGTCTTTTGTGTTAGCATTCATAGCTTTGCATCTGCTAACAAGCCCCTGGGCCACCCCACAATTTTGAGCTCTGGTATATTTTCAAGTTCTGGTCTGAATTTGATTAACTTACTCTGGTTGGCTTTTCATTCCCTTGTTTTGACGTGTAGGCTGATCAGTAATTCCCTTGATTTAGTCTTGTCTACAAGAATGCTTTCAAATAGCTAGCATCTCTGTTCTCAATGGATATCACAAATCACCCTTCACTCCGCCCTAATATTACATGCCTTTGATCATTTCAACTGAAATTTATGAGAGGGTAGTTAAGTACTTGGGTTCAAATTGTCATTAGAAAGAATTCAACAATATTTACTAAATCTAACTGGGATGAAACAATCTAAACTTTAGGGCATGACTCTCCCAGTCATCTGATTCCATGAATCATAAACTTATTCTGAGCTTCTCCATACCTAACTGAATCAGAATAGAAGACATTAGTGCTTTGTCATTGTACAGTATATAAGAAAACAACTGAAACAAATTTATATAGTCATAGGTGTCTTAGCTTTATTTGTGCAATTATTTTGAAATAGATTAATTTCAGAGATGTTTTAAGCTTACAAGCGTGTAAAGAGAAAGGCAATGATAAGTCTCATCAGTAATAATGCTGAAATTTCATCACATAACATGCAGAACACTTTTTAAAACTTAGAGGTTCAGAAAAAGTTTAATGAACAAGAATTTTTATAACAAACATTATTAAGTAGTTTATACAAGTAATGATCTTTAAATTAATTCTCACCTCTTTTGAGAAGCTCTTCACTTTCATCTACAGAATTTATTATTTCTGGCATTGAGTTTAATGACTCCTTCAGCTCTGAAAGTGATGGAACATCAACTTGTTTGAGGCTTGTAGATACTAAAAATTCACACTCAGGCAAAATTGATGGCTGAAGTAATATATAAATAAAACAGGTTTTTAGTGAGATTTTCCAAATAAAGATTCTTGAATTCATAAACATATATTTGTTTAAAAAATGTACCAAATTTTAAACTAAATCTACACTCAAAATTTTTAATGCTATGCATACATTTGAAAAAAGTAGAAGTGTAGCAGCCAAAAATATATTATATTACAAACAGTGTTCTGAGTAACGTCCTTTATGGCCCCTGATTACATTCATGCAATATCCTTAGGTGCAGGAATATCTTCTGTTGGGCTAACAACAAATTTTAAAAATTCTAAATTAAGAACAATCACTGCAGCAGATGAGAGATGGTGAATGGGGAGAACTAACAAAGGGTAGATGGAATGAAATAGACCTTCACCGCACTCCTTAGAGTGTTTCTCTTTCATTCCTACAGAACTGGATTTCTCAACAAGTGAGGCTGTACTATGTGCACAACTCTCAAGAGTTAACTGGGGAGGAAAAGGGGGAATAGAGAAAAGGCGTTAATAGGTGAATTAATATTTTTTACCACACGTGGTAAAATATTTGTCAGGCAATCCTTTGAATGCCTTAGGACATCTATATCTATATGATGTCCTTTGAATGTTTTAAGAGCAGCCCCAAATATAAAACATTTTCCATTGTTTTCAAAAAATGCTTATAGTAACTTTGTAAATGTCTCTAATCTATTTGGGTCTAGTTTTTTTAGTTTGTTAAATTGCGAAAAGTTATTTGCACTTTCAACTGCTAGAATTTTTTACATACTAACATAATAAAAAAATTTTGTGTGCTATTGGAACTGTATACTAAAAAACAGGGGCTACTTTTAATATGCATCTTCCTTAATCACTGGCAGCACCTAAAATGCAGCCTCAGAACATTCTTATCCTTACTCCTTCAATGACATCATTTCTGTTATAGTTCAAGTATTATCTGTTTGTGTATAACTCACAAATCAACATTTCTATTAGCTCCAGTCTCCAATTTTTAAATTAGAAAATGGCCACTTAATGTCCTATACCAGATATATTGATTAAAATCATTGGGAGAGGTTTTAAAACTCCCTATACCATTTTGTTGCAAATGACACTATTTCATCTTCCATGCAGTTTATTGTTTCAGGTTTTATGTTTAGGTCTTTGACCCATTTTGAGTTAATTTTGGTACACGGTGACAGATAGCAGTCTTTGAGATTACTATGCTAAGTGAAATAAGTCACACAGAAAAAGTCAAGAACCACATGATTTCACTGATATGTGGGATATAAAACCGAAAGCAACAAAGGAACAAGACAAATAAAGAAACAAAAACTCANATGAGCAGCCAGCAGCTGGTGTGAGCTGTCAAGAGCTGCTGTGAGCAGCCATCCAGAGGCTGGTGACCAATCTGCCTCATCCGGGAAGAGTGCAATGATAATACCAACATGGGCCAGTGAAGCAACGTCCTCCACAACTAGACTGAAGAACAAAAAGGACAGCAACTCATCTGTTCCCCTTCCCCCAATTCCCCAACGCTGTTCCCCTTCCCCAATTCCCCAATAAAATCTTTAAAAAAAAACAAACCACAATGAGCTATCACAACACATCCATTAGAATGGCTAAAATTTAAGACTGTCAATACTAAGTTATGGCAAGGATGTAGAATAACAGGAACTCTCACACATTGCTGGTGTGGATGTACAATGGTGCAACCACTTTGGAAAAACAATTTAGCCATTTCTTATAAAGTTAAACACACACCTACCATAAGACTCACAATTCTACTCCTAGATATTCACTCTAGAGAAATGATAACATACATCTACAAAAAGATTTGTACAAGAGTATTCATAGTATTTTTATTCATAATAGCAAAAAACTGGGGGGAAAATCCAGGAGAGTTGAAAAACAAACAGTGGTACATCCATATAATGAAAAATTCCTCAGTAATAAAAATATATGAACTAGTGATACACACAACATCATGAGTGAATCTCAAAATGTTATGCTGAGTGGACAAAGCCACACACAAGAGAGTTCATACTGTGTGATTCCATAAATGAAATTTCATAACAAGAAAAACTAATATATAGTGACAGAAAGACCAGTAGTTACTTGGGGTTAAGAGTGAAGGCTGGTAGGGAAGAGGGGTGAGATGAAGAGAGAATCACTGCAGAGTGCAAAGGGACACAAGAAAACTTTTTGGTGATAAAAATATTCTGTATCTTAATTGTGGTAGTAGTTTCACAAGTATATACATTTGACAAAATGCATCAAACTGTACAGTTAGAATGGGTACATTTTATTATATGTAAATATAAAGTTTATTTGAAAACAACGATGCCTATCAGGCCAGCTAAATAATGGAAATTAGTGAAGCATATGGCCAGTACTTAAATCATAATCTTCAGGAAGATACATTTTATGTTTTTTCCTTCCAAAATGTGATCTAGAAATTTTTTTGGTTTTGTTTTTGTTAGGGATATTGGTCTAAGGAACATTTTACTTTCCTCTTAACTATACTAAATATAAGACAAAAATGTAAGAGTAATGGTGAATGCCACCTAACACCTGGTTTCAATTTGTGGTGCCGATAACTATGGTGACCTGGAGCGTGTGTGGTCTGAAATGGTGAGCTGCTATTGGCCCCAGTCAATTGTTGTCATATGAAAATCCAAGTCTCGTTTTTAGAATCTTAAAGACAATTTCAAAATACAGATCATTTATTGCAACCCTGCAAATTTTAAATGTTGGTAACTAAAACACCATATGGGTTAATAACATGTGGGCTGAATAGGAAAATGGGTGCTGCCAATTTGCAACCTCTGAGATATTTTCTACAGATATCTTGGTATGTTTGGCAGGTAAATAGGAACTGTTTATTATTTCCATTTTTCTGATTATTTTCCTCTACTATTTTCTCTTTAACCACTCCTACCCTGACAACTTGGCCATGGGCTCTTGATATAGTTATTACTTATTAAACTTCAGAATTAAGCTCTCATAATAATTCTATTGAATATCCAGGTAAATTATGTGTTTTATTTTAATTTAGAATAGCTACATATCATAATAAGGATTTTACATAATTTTATAGATTTAATACATTATTCTATATATTTGAAGACCCCATAAAATTTTCCTCTCCCTTTTCTTTGTGTAGCAATCTTACCTTATCTCTTTGAAAATTCCTCTTCCACCTTGGGGAACCATCTAGGCCTTGGATAGACTGGTGTGCCTTTGCTTGCTGTAGTCTGTTTATCTGTTCTTCTTGTTACCACATCCAAAGCCTTGTCTTCTATCTTTGAAACATCCCTTGCTGATAACAATTCTTACCCCAATTCCTCTCTTTAGAGCTGTCTCCCAACATACACAGTACTTTCTAAACTTCACTTTTAAATATATTTATTTACTCTATAATAAACTAAAAGTAAACTTTCCCAACTCCTTTAAGATCTAAATTTAGTAACTATTGCACAAACTGATTTCAAACCAATACATATATACTTTGAAAAGATATAATTCAGGCTATGTTCCATTTACTATAAAGGCATACACAGCAACCAAAATAACTCAAAAGTGAAAAACGCTAAATGAGTAAGCTTTTTGATAACAAAGGAAGATTTTTCTACTGCTGAGGAGAGATTACTAGATATTATCAAACAAAGTTCAGCTGTCAGTTCGAAAACTAACAGTGCTGGTTTGTGTCTAGGCTGATGTAAACAGAAACTGAGATAGCAATTAATCATGTAAAAGGAAACAAAATCACTTTAATTGAAAATGGCTAGCAATTTAAAAGGGCCGGCTGAGTGGCTCAGTTGGTTAAGAGCTCGCTCAAGAGTTTGAGCTCTGAGCAACAGCAGTTCGAGTCAGCCCGAGCTGAGCANGAGGGTGTTCCAATACAGCTATTTGTTTATTGGCTAAAAACTCCCTCACAGACAGTGCCATGTGAGCTGGTGTACTGTCGTGATGCAAGAGCCATGAACTGTTGGAGAAAAGTTCAGGTCGTTTTTGTCTAACTCTTACACGCAGCCTTTTTATGCACTTCCAAACAGTAAACTTGGTTAAGTGTTTGTCCAGTTGGTACAAATTCATAATGAATAATCTCTCTGATATCAAAAAGGTTAGCAACATCGCTGCAACAAATCTACGAACTTAATTGTCAGAACTTGTACGTATCTATTTGTACGTATCTATCTCCGTACACAATAAGTATCATGAATCAATGACATTTTCTTTCACTTTGAAAAATAATATATTCTATCTGGAAGAGCTTTATTTCTTTACTTTATATAACAAATTATACACTTAGTCCTTGAAGCCACCATATCTATGCCAAATTTTACTAAATTACTCACCATCTTTTTCATCAGCGTCTATGAATTCAGTCTGTGAGGTGCAAGTTTTATGTTTATTTCGTAGCATAATAAAGTTGCTCAAAAGGTCCAAATCATTCTCCAATTTTTTACCATGTTTAAAAGATGCCTTTTCAATTTTTGAAGAGGAAGATGATTCAGTAGCTATTACTGTGCAGTCAAGTACCAAATAATCTTTATTTTCTTTAGTTTGGACTAATCTACAAACTAGTTCTTGATCATTCTTTGGTTTTTCTTCTCTTGTTGGACTTCTAACAGAGATATTTTCATCAGAAAAACACATGTCTGGTACTTCTTTTGCCGGAGATGAACTTTTTTGTGGAGGTGATAAATTATCATTTATAGATTCCTCATTAATAAGAGATGAGGAACAACTTCTATGGTCCAGCCACGCTGAAAACAGAAAATAAAAATATCTAAGTGAGGGCCGGCCGAGTGGCGCAATGATTAAGAACTGGCTTGGGACGCCAGAGGGCCCCGGTTCGGATCCCACATATGAGGGCCAGTGACACTGCCCTGCCCTCCACAGCTAAGATGCTGAACAACAGCTCAACCTGGAGCTGGGCTGCCTATGAGTCGCCGGCGATGGCGTAGGCTGC